CCGAGGAATCAGCTTTCTAATTTTTATTTTCTTAGAGTTTCACAGGCAGGTGAAACCATCAATTCTTCTGCTGTTATAAAAGCCTGGCTTAGGGTTTTTTTGAAAATAATTGTTCATCTTGACCATGGAATGCCCTTTGTTGAAACAACTGTATAGTTTTTCTTAAGAAGGAAAACTTAACCAGATGGCATTGTGGGGCCTTTTATTTGGAAGCATTTGATTTCAAATGCTTGGAATCTTGGGCAAAGCCAATTGGAAAGTGACCTAGCCATGAGGGGGCCAGGAGGTGGTGATTTCTCCCTTGGAGCTACTTGAACTGGACTCACTGAGTGTATGGGAAGTTGGGGATGGTGTATTCAGGTGGTGATCCTTAAGTAGTCCTTGTCATCTGGCTGGAGATCACAGGAGTTCACTCTTTGGTGAAGGCAAGAGTTAGAAGGAAGGAGGAGAGAGATGAAAAGATAAATCAAAGAAACATTTCCCTCTGAGCCTGAAAAGCACATGTTCTCTCAGAACCAAAGGAGGAAATATTAGTCATAAAATCAGGTGTAACTAGTTTTCTCCCTTAGAAGAGCTTCAACCATAGAAGATTATATGCTTTGGGTAAGAACTTGCTGGAAACTGTTTTGAAACCTTAGGACTATTTCACTTCCATTTATGATAACTGGGCTGTACATTGCACATTGATCAGGGCCAAGGGTGGCAGGAGTATGGCCACACACCGTGAATAAGATCTATTTCCAAAACCCATCCAATATTCACTTTTCTCTGGTTATGAGTTTTGCAAACAAGGCTCTCTAGGAAAACCTAGAGTTTTATTATGGAGCAACTCTGTGTATGTGTGCAGAGGTCACCTGCACTAAACGTCAACCCACCTCCAAGCATGACTCTACATTTCCGCTGAGTATTTGGATCCTGCACATGACGTGCCCTGTTTTCCTGGAAAGGGCTGGTCTTGCACGATTCCACTGGGGTATTGGTCAATCACACTTCATCTCTCCTGATTCTAAGAAGAAGTGAGGAAGAATGTGAAATGCTCCTTCTCATTCTAAATTACAATGTAGTATCTCTGGAGGATGTCACTGAATTTATTTGTCCTTTACAGAGGGTATGTGCTTTAAGTAAATAAAACTATATTGAAAATTAGGAACCTCTGCCTTGGATCTTATCTCTGCCCGAAACTAGATGAGAAAACTTGGATTTCATGTTCTTTGTCTATGAAATAAAGAATTTGAAAAGTTGGCACTGAATGCCCTGTCTCATTCCAAATTATATAACTGTATTACCCAAATTGAACTGTGGTGTCATTAGTTAATAGTAGAGAACACTAGAAGACTATAGAAACAAGTATTCCTATGATACTAAGAATTAATCATTGGATGATTTTAAGCTATTATTAAACTCCTAGAGAGAAATTCCATTTTTCATGTGAAGAAATGTGGAGTGACCCTTCATAATTGAATTTGAATTTTATTTTAATTATTTTTTTCATTTATAAAAAGAATTATTTACTTTTATTATTATCATTTTAATTCATCAGAGAAAGGGAGATGAAGGAAAGTGAGAAAGCAAGCTGCTAGGTCTAGGACTCAAACCATAATTGGCCATGTGGGAGGCTAGCACCTTAAACATGATGACACCTGCTAGCCCCAACAGGAAGGCAAGTCACTAGGTCTGGGACTCGAGTGGTAGTTGGCCATGTGGGAGCCCAGCACCTTAACCACCATGCCACCTGCTGGCCCCTATACCATGTTTTTTTTATACATAACATATCTATGACAAAGCTTAATTCATTAATTAGACATGGTAAGAGATGAACAACAGTAAGTAATAATAAGATAGAACAGTTGTAACAATATGCTGTGATAAAAGTTATGTGAATGTGGTCTGTCTCTAAAATTGTCTTATACTCTACTTACTCTTATTTTTTAAAATTAACATGTAATAACTGTCCGTATTTCCCAGGGAATATGGGAAATATAAGAATTTTCTTATATAAGAATACGATGTGTAATGATTAAATCAGGATAATTAGTATACACATCATCTCAACCATTTATCATTACTTTGTGTTGGAACATTCCAAATGCTCTTTTCTAACTACTCTGAGACAGTGCGTTGTTGTTAAGTGCATTCCCCTTACTGCATTTTATAGCATTTGACATTGTTTCTCTTATCTATCTGTATCTTGTTTCCGTGAATCGACATTCCTCCATCCCCCCTCACCCGCACCCACAGCATACACATCCTTCCCAGCCTCTAGTAGCCGTTCATCATCTGTGATGATCATCCTTTTCAGTTTCCACATACGAAGAATTTCTCTTTCTGTGTCTGGCTTATTTCACTTTACATCCTGTCCTCCAGGCTTGCCCATTTTACCTTTTTTCCTTTTTAATGACTGAACAGTATTCCACTGTGTGCATATGTGTGTGTGTGTGTGTGTGTGTGTGTGTGTGTGTGTGTTTGTGTATCACATTTTCATTACCCACCTGTTAATGGACATTTAGGTTGATGCCATGTCTTGTGAGTAGTGCTGCCATGAACACTGGGGTACTGATAAATTGACAATATACTAGTTTCCTTGCCTTTTCATTCTTCTTGTGATGCGGTGAATGACATAGGTGTCATGATGTAGCATTAGGATACTGTAGGAAGATCACCTGCCTCAGGAGGGAATGACAAGTCATGAGGATTTTCCAGACCCCAGTTGCCTGCCAGTAACTGAAACCACAGAAAGCAAACCATGAATGGAGAGGTGATTGTATTGGCTTCCTAACTATGCACACAGTGCTCTTTTAATAAGTCTGGAATCATTCACGGGGTATGCAAACCTAGTGCCAGATGTGGTCACCAACATAGACAGGCTTGCTCAGTGGTTCAGAAGGTGGGAGAGTTCATGGATACACAAACCAACCCCCATGGATACACAAGCCACTCCCTAACAGCTAGACATCCCCAAAAGTTTATTTCCCACGATGGGCAGGAAATTATTTGGTGAATGTTCACTTGGTGGGATGTCATCAATCAGGACAGCAGGCAGCTCAGTGACTGACAAAGCATTAGTTGGGGCTGATAGAACAAAAAGAGGAGGGAAAACGGGACACCTTTCTCCTCTTTTGAGATAGTATTTCATGTACTTAAACTTGGATTAAAACTTATATTTTAAAAAAGAATGTTGGGACCAGCAGTTGGCGTAATAGCTATGTTGCTGGACTCCCATGAAGTCGACAGAGGTTTGAGTCCTGGACCTGGTGGCTTAAATTCACACTGGGCATGTGTGCATGTGTGCCCAAGATCCCAAGAGGAGAATAGAAGAGAAGGGATTGCAGCGTGGTCATTCCCCCAGGGGGTGATTTCTCACTTTCTGTCTCTCTGTCTTTCTGGCGAGTCCACGTGCCCTATAGCAAACACCTCTAAAAAAATAAGTTAATTGATTTACTACTAGAATATATTAAAATACTATTGGATCACTGGAAAAGTCATGATGCATTTTTGCATAGAAAAATACAGCATGATTTGCCCAGAGACCTAATACTAGAATATATTAAAAAGTAACAGTTAATACATATATAACTTCTGTGTAGTGGATGAAGCATTTAAGGGCCAAGGTAGTTTTCTTGTGTTTTAAGGCTTCCTGGAATTGAATCTAGAGATCAGCCTCATCCTGATATCTTTGCAATCACAGTAATTCTTGCCTCTGCTAGAAACATTGCTGTATGGTTTATTCCCATTCCATACCCCTCTGGCAGTGCCTTCAGTGTGGTAGGCATTAATTACTTCTTGAATGAACGCAAGGACCTTTACCGAGCTTGTTTGAACTGGTATATTTTTATGAGTTAGGATTGCAAGAGCAGGATTTAATTGTAGTTTAATTGTAGGGAATGACTTGTATTTGCATGTGTCTTCATTTTGGAGTGATTGGTTCTCATTTTTAGCTCACTGAGGTTACTGTGGAAAAATGAGGACAAGGACATAGCACACTGCCTGGCTTATACAGCACATTCAGCACATTCTAGATGATTAATTGGGAAAGGAAACTCTAGAAAAATAGGTATCGTGAGATTTTGTTGACGTTAACAATTTTTATGGAGAAATTAGGGTTAAGTTAACCATGGTATAGACTGAAAATACATTGTTGGTCTTTATTATTAATAATCATTCTTGGGACTAGCAGGTGGTGTGGTGGATAAGGGCGCTAGATTCCCACATGGCCAACCATGGGTCAAGTCCTGGACCTGGTGGCTTGCTTTCTCACTTTCCCTTTCCCTGTCTCTGTCTCTGTCTCTGTCTCTGTCTCTGTCTCTGTCTCTGTCTCTGTCTCTGTCTCTGTCTCTGTCTCTGTCTCTGTCTCTGTCTCTGTCTCTGTCTCTGTCTCTGTCTCTGTCTCTGTCTCTCTCTCTCTCTCATCAAATAAAGAAAAAAAATAACAATAACAAATGGAAATAAATAAATAATTCTTTAAAAAAGAATCATTCTTATATGTTTAATGCCAAGATTTCTTTAAAAGTACTATGGCTTCCTGGTCCTTGAGGCTTAAGACATTTCTAGCAACGTTTCTTCCTACCTCCTGGGTTTATATGATTTTTTTCCCCTGGATCTCATTGCTGGAGCCATATTGAGTCTCAATCGATAGTGCTTTTGTTCCTTCCCACTTGTGGGCCCTGCATGGATTGTACATTGTTCTGTCTGGAACTCTCATGGCAAACTGCTAAATCACTCCAGATCTTAGCTTTCAATTGACTTCTTCAGAAAAGATGTCCTGAAGACCCTGCTCTCTCAAGGTTTCCCTAGTTGTGACAGGATTATTTATGGCATAGCTTTTTTTTTCCCTTGGCATGAGCTTCATGATGCAGGTAGTTGGCTTGCTCACCTTTGAATCTGCAGGGCTTTTCCAGAGACTATGGCCAACAATAGATGCTCAATAAATATTTGCTAAAGCCATGTGTGTTGAATTAATCATTTAAGTTCAGTTACATTCATTTTTCTTTTTCTCTTTTCAGCTGGGAAGTTATCAATTCCAAACCAGATGAAAGACCCAGACTCAGCCACTGTATTGCAGAATCATGGATGAATTTCAGCATATTTCTTCAAGAAATGTCTCTTTTTAAACAGCAGAGCCCTGGCAAGGCAAGTTCTGCAGTACAGGAGTGTGTTGTAAAATGTGCTTTGTACTTGGAACCAAATGAGCTATTAATACTTTTATCTGTGTATAGGAGTTCTCCATTTCTGAATATAATATGCCATGAATGTGTGCCATCAAAGCTAGTATCAGCAAAGTTCAGAAATGTAGTGTGTGAGCACCAGTGAATCCTTAGCCCCATACTTTGAAATTGGATTGGTTTTATATTTCATACATACTTATCTAACTCATTAACTAGAATGAATGGTGATTGGACAAAGAAATGTCTTATTAAGAATTTCAGTTATTAGGCCAGTTGGTGATGTGGTTAAGGCAGCTGGATCCCACATGATTGACTGTGTGGTTTGAGTCTACCTCGAAAACCGTGCTGGGTGTGTGTGTGCATGTCCAACATCCTGAGAGGAGGATAGAGAAGAGGTTGTGGCATAGCTATACTCCCTAGGGGGTTGGGGATGATTTCCACTTTCTTTCTCTGACAAGCACACATATCCTATAGCAAACTAAAAACAAAACAAAACAAAACAAAAAACCAATAACAAAGGAATTTTAGTTATATTTAGCCTGGTTCTGAAATCAGGAGGTAAAATGAGCACATACCTCTTTGAGCATACTGAGTCATATATATTGAGTCTCACTTTCAATCTAAAAAAAATAGAGGTTTTTGTATAATGTAGTTAAGAAAGAAAAGATTTGACAAACATATTCTGTTATATAAATGGAATGAGTATTTTTCCAATTAGGATAAAAACTTTTTTTTTTGGAGAGGTTTTTGCTATAGGGCGTGTGCACTCGCCAGATAGACAGAGAGACAGAAAGCGAGAAATCACCCCCCAGGGGGGATGGTGACACCGCAATCCCTTCTCCTCCATTCTCCTCTCGGGATCTTGGGCACGCACGCACTGGCGCCCAGCATGAGTTTTAAGCCACCGGGTCCGGGACGTGAACCGTGGTCAACTACATGGGAGTCCAGTGACATAGCCATTATGCTAACTGCTGGTCCCAGGATAAAAGCTTTTGAGGAGAAAGGTCTTAAGAGATTGGCAAGGGATTACACAGAGAAGTGCACACACTTGTATTATTTTATGTGTAGCTTTAACTGTGATCAAGTTTTGATAAGGTACAGAATCACCAATAGATCATCTTCCAGTGTTGCCTTTAGGTTTCTTGAATATCCACCTGAATCAGAATTTAGAGCTATGAATGACAGCATTTCAAAGGCCTCTCAGTGTACTGCATGTGGGCAACCTCATAATATCACTGATACTAGATCAAAGAACTATACTTCGAGACATTTCAGGCATATGAAAATAGTACTGTTGTATCTGGATACATTTTTTAAAATCACTGAAGGTCAGTTTTATGCCCCATAAGGGGAGCATGGTATATTTTTGATGCATGTTTTACTGATGTGACTAACCGTATTTTTGGAGGATTCTAAACTTCAAATTTCTGTACTAGATTGCATTTGGGTGTCCTAAACCAAATTGTTTAAGATGATGATGCTAAAAATCTAGGGAATATTAAGAAATCCCTTTGCAAAACTGAATTCTAGATATAGTAATGCTTTTGTTGACATGCATTCCTTTGGCCGTTAGGGCCTTTTCTCTCCCATTAATTTCTAGAATTCTAAATCTTTCAAGAGACTTTGCTGTTTCAGAAGCAGCTCCTAATTTTGTTCCACAAATTTGCCTGTTCTTCATTTTACTACTTTACTTACTAGCCCTATGCCGAAGTATGAAAACTCCATTAATCTGAAAGTTGATCCCCTTGCTCTTTCTCTTCATCAGTTATTGATCAAAGGTGTATTTTCCTTCCTCATTTTTTTTAGTTCCCTTAATACATTTTCTTTGCTTGCTTTATCAATTTAGTTAAATACCACTATTTAAATATAAAACAAACAAACAAAATCTCCAAACCAATAACAAAAAAGCAGTAAGATAGCTTAAGGTCAGAAAGTGGAAATCAAGTGAGGACTTTTAGGGGAACATTTTTCAAACTTGATGTCTCTAATGGGAATTATGGAAATTTTCTATAGATTGTTTTTAAATTTCTTAAAGCAACCAAGTTTTTGTTGTTGTTGTTGTAACTGAAAGAAGGAAAATAATCTGATTTCACTTGTAGGCATCTCATTTCATTAAGAGCTGGTTTCTAGGTGACCTAGAAGTTGGGTCCATTTGAGAAGTAGACATTGTCAGGAGGGAGGATAGTGCTGATTTGTCCCAGCAGCTTATCAACTGAGCAAATTACGTTAGGTTTGTGTAGATGCTTCTAGTTCTGCAGCATGTTTTACTGTGTTTATGCATTTCTATGGGTTCATAGTGTTAGTTTTTAAGCTTGCAAATTTACTTATCAGACTGGATTATTTTAATTAAATGATGTAAGAGAAGTTTCTGGGAACCTGTGACTTTTTTCTTTTTTTTTTTTGAGAGGTTTTTGCTATAGGGCGCGTGCGCTTGCCAGACAAATAGAGAGAGACAGAGAGATAGAAAGCAGGAAATCACCCCCCAGGGGGGATGGCCACGCCACAGTCTCTTCTTCTCCATTCTCTTCTCGGGATCTTGGGTACGCATGCACACACGCCCGGCATTTTAAGCCACCGGGTCCAGGATGTGAACCGCGGTCGACTACATGGGAGTCCAGCGACATAGCCATTACACTAACTGCTGGTTCTGGAAACCTGTGACTCTTCAAGTCTGTTTCTCCTGATAGTAATACTACCATAGGCATGAGAAATGGGAGTCACCATTCTTAGTGCCAGAAGTTAGTTCTTATGCCCTCAAAATGATTAATACTAAGTGTTAGAGTGGACGAAGAGTGATTAAAACAGTCATTGCTATAGGGCGCGTGCGCTTGCCAGACAAATAGAGAGAGACAGAGAGATAGAAAGCAGGAAATCACCCCCCAGGGGGGATGGCCACGCCACAGTCTCTTCTTCTCCATTCTCTTCTCGGGATCTTGGGTACGCATGCACACACGCCCGGCATTTTAAGCCACCGGGTCCAGGATGTGAACCGCGGTCGACTACATGGGAGTCCAGCGACATAGCCATTACACTAACTGCTGGTTCTGGAAACCTGTGACTCTTCAAGTCTGTTTCTCCTGATAGTAATACTACCATAGGCATGAGAAATGGGAGTCACCATTCTTAGTGCCAGAAGTTAGTTCTTATGCCCTCAAAATGATTAATACTAAGTGTTAGAGTGGACGAAGAGTGATTAAAACAGTCATTAGTCAGCTCAAAGTGCAAAAGAATGCCATTTGAACAAATGTTGGCCTTAACGTGCTAGGTCCCATGTAGGTCAGTAATTGTGTATGTATTCTGTGCTCTAAAATGTCCTGGTATTATACATAACTATCTCATGCCATTTCTATCATTTCTAGTTTTGTCTCCTGGTCTGCAGTGTGTGCACATTTTTTACGATCTTGGGCAGTTATATTCCTGGGGTTATACTCAGCTACCTGCTGTGTAAGTATCATCGAACATTGTGTTTATAATTCTTAATTGTTTCAAAAAGCAGGACTATAAGTGAATACCTTTGTTAAATTATGTTAGTAAAACTCTAAATATGCTTCTCCTTCCCCAAATGTGCCAGCACCTTTGCCTTTGTGTATGTTACATGACTCAAAAAAGAAAACTTCAATAACATACCATTGCACCCCTCAACAGAATGGCTACAATGAAAATACTAGCCATATCAAATATTAGAAAGGATGTGCTAAAATCACTTTTGATAATGGTTAGGCAGTTTTCTAAAGCTACTGTATAACTCAGCCATCCCCAAGCTAGGCACTCACTCAAGAGAAACGGAAGCACACGTCTGCATAAACACTCATACATGAGTGCTCACTGCTGGGCTATTTGTAGTAGCCCAAAGTGGAATACAAACTTTCTGTCCATCTACAGATGGATGGGCATACAAACTGTGGTATTTCCATGTACTATTCAAGACTGAAAATGGATACATTCAACGCTGTAGATAAATCTCAAAATAATTAGGCTGAGTAGAAGAAGCTAGATAAAAGAATATGTTCTGAATTGTCTATTTATATGTAATTCTAGAAAATTCAAGCTAATTTTGAAATTTTGTAATTAATTTATTTATAGTCATTCACTGTACATCAATACAGTATACAAAATGAGATTTTCCGTCCAATATGCATTGTATATTGGCTCAATCAAGGATATTACCATGCATGTTATCATCAACAAATAATTTTCTATTTCTTGTTTTTTGTATATTTTGCCTCCCCCCCTTTGATTCCCTACCTCTCACCCTCTCCCAACTCCCCCCTTTCTTCCACACTGTCTCTGGTATGTATAGTTGTTTTCCATATCTTTTTTTTTTCACATTTTATTGACTCACTAAAGATCTTAACTACTTTAAAGACTTTCAATAGCAAGCACAGCTGATATATACATGTTTATGAACCCAAGTCTGACTTTAGGCATAAACCTGAGTGAGTAAAGTGAGCATACTATAAAGTAGCACCTCACTGGGGCTATATGGCTTACTGCAGTCATTAAATAGGCATTAATAGTTTTTAATGCATTTTTTAATTTAAAAAACTTTTAGTTTTAGTAGATCAAAAATCAAAAAATGTTAAGAGAAATTTTCTTAAAACTTAAAACCAGGAAAAAGGTTAGGATTCAGTTCAAATATTAGGTAGATGAACCTATCAACAGTTCAAGAGGAGAGAAAAATCCTTAAATATGGAAATCAAAGCACTGAAGAAAATCAGTAATGTTGTCGTCTAAAGTCAAAAAATTCTATTTCACTAGTTCAGACTCATGTAATTAATCTCTCTTCTGTTGAATGTGCATTGTTACTGTGGTCTGATCTTTGCATTTAAACTCTGGCAGTTAACATTCAACTCCAGATTTGTCCCTACCATTAGGTTGGCCATTTTCTTAGCTGTTTCTTGTACTCTTATTTCTGTGTGTCCAACTTTAGTCTTCGTGGTATGGCACTCCCTTCAGCACTTCTTAGAGAGCTGGTCTGGTGTTGGTAAATTCTTTCAGATTTTATCTATCTGAAAATGTTTCTGTCTTCTTTTTCCATGTGAAAGATAATCTTGCTGGGTATAGTATTCTTGGGAATTTTTTTCACTTAACACTATGAATATATTTTCTTTCCTTGCTTGCATTTTTTTTCGGATGAGAGATCTGACAGTAGCCTGCTGTGATATCCTTTGAAAGTAACTTGACATATCTCTCTTGCCAACTTTAGTATCTTGTCTTTTTCTGTGGTTTTGGTCAATCTGGCTATGATGTGCCTCAGGGAAGATGTTCTTGGGTTGATTCTATGTGGGATTTTTGTTTGTTTGTTTGTTTTTCTTCAGTCTGGATATTTGAGTGCCTCTCTAGGTTTGGAAAGTTTTCTTCTGGAATTTCATGGAATAGATTATCAATAGCCTTATTGGTTTTTTTCCCCTTCTGGGATAAGGATGATCTCGATGTTTGGGTGTTTAATGGTATCTAGTATTACTTGAATGCTGTTCTCATATATTTGGGTTATTTTCTCAGTCTTTTTGGTGAATTTTTCTATGTCAGAGGTTCTGTCTTCTACATCTGAGATTCGATCTTTTGCAAGATCTAATCTGCTTTTGATACTTTCAACAGAAGTTTCGATTTCCTGTATTACAGCCTTTATCTCTAACAATTCCATTTGATTCTTTTTTACAATGTGTATCTCCTCTTTCAGATCATGCAAGAACTTCCTCACCTCCTGGAACCTGTTGTCTCTTTTCTCCTGCATCTTCTGGAGTTCGTTGTCTCTACTCTCTTGCATCTCTGTTAGCTTTGTCATAATGAATATTTAAAATATTTTATCTGACACTTCCATGAGTTCCCTTATATTCTCCAGCTCCTGGCTAGAATGGGGAGCTAGAGGGTAAAGTCTAAGCAGGTGGTCTTCAGTGTTAGAAATCCCTGAATGGAGCTGCTCCAAACTCAAATATAGATGGATGCTGATTGGTTTATCGTGGCTCCTGGCTAGACTGGGGAGCAGGAGGGCGAAGTCTGGGCAGAGGGTCTTCAGACGTGGAAAATCATTCAGGCTCATTTTTAGTAACAAAATAGATCAGAGAAAAAGTGGGAAAGCAAGCTGCCAGGTCAGGGACTTGATCACGTCAGCCATATGTGGGAGTCTAGCACCTTAACTAGCATGTCACCTGCTAGCCCCACATTCATTATCTTGGTTGTGGTGATTGATGGTTACTTAGCAGTATGCGTACGTCAAAACACATGAATACTTCAAGTATGTTCGGTCTATTGCACATCAACTATAACTCAAAAATGCTGTGAAAAAGAAGTGTAGATTTTCTACTGCTTCTGAAACACATGAAGATCTGGTTCTGCTATCTTTTGGTGAGGCAGATATTCTCAACTAAACTAACTCTTACATTTGCCTATTTTTCTTACACTAACTTTTAAGGTTTACATATAATTCCTTGGCCTCTAGAGATCTTGGTATTTGCAACTTTTATTTTGAGAGGTAATGGGGCTCAGCCTCAGTGACATGGTGGGTATCATACTGTAGTGTTGGAAGGCATGAGACAATCCCAGGTTTGATCTATGGCCTCGTAGACCTAAAACATGCTAGGCTCAGATCCTGATGGACTGGAAGGCTTGGCTGGAGAGGGATTGTGGTGTGATTGGACTTTGTCAGGGGCTTCTCTCTCTCTGTCTCTCTCTCTCTCAAGCACTCTCTATCATAAAAAAAAAAAACCTTTTAAAAAAAGATAATAGGGGGAACCAGCAGTTAGCGTAATGGCTATGTCGCTGGACTCCCACGTAGTCGACCACGGTTTGTGTCCCGGACCCGGTGGCTTAAAACTCACACCGGGCGCGTGTGCGTGCGTGCCCAAGATCCTGAGAGGAGAATGGAGGAGAAGGGATTGCGGCGTGACCATCCCCCCTGGGGGGTGATTTCTCGCTTTCTGTCTCTATGTCTCTCTGTCTGTCTGGCGAGCGCACGCGCCCTACAGTGAAAATCTCTCCAAAAAAAAAAGATAATAGGGGCATTTCCTAACAATCACAAAGAAATAAACATTGGGGAGTACAATACATTCATTATGGCACAATTTTCTTTCTTTTTCTTTCTTTTTTCAATTCCTAATGCCTAACACAAGTGGCAAATTGTGGGAACTCAAATATAATTTCCCACATAGAACTCTATATAAAAGCCTCTTGATCTACATTGTTCAGGAGGTAAAGAAGAGGCCTGTAGAAGAGTCTAAAGTGGGCAAGTCTTTGTCTTGTTTACTCTTTGTAATGACTGCATAAAATATTGTTAACCCCCATATTACTGATGAGAGCTAATAGACCATCTTCCCCATAATAAAATGGCATTTAATAGAGTTGGTTTTATTTTAACTCAGGACTATCGTTTGGAAAACATGTACAGTTCTGTAAGTTTTAAAGGGTTTAAGGGGAATGAGTTGATGTAATTACAAGTCTGAAAATGACTATGAGCTTGGTTTTGTGTGCATGTGTGTGTGTGTGTGTGTGTGTGTGTATGAGATGAAAATTTACTCTCTCCTCATTACAGGAGGAGAAAGTAAATTATAAACCTACCCCACAGTGCGATTTCTCTAAGGAAGAAAAACTTCTATTTTTCAGTGAGGAAACTCAGCATTTTATGAAACACTAAGCTGTAGACTTTTGAAAAGAAAGGCACTTTACCTACTTTCTCTTCCTTTTTATATTTCAGTGCTTTGTGCGTTTTTGTGTCCACTGTTTAAATGTAATGATATAGGACAAAAAATATACAGCAAAATCAAGTCAGTTCTGCTGAAACTAGATTTTGGAATCGGAGAATACATTAATCAGAAGAAACGTGAGAGATCTGGTAGGTAAAATTGAATTTTAAATTGTGTGTATGAAATGAGACCTTATTGGATTATGGGCTATTTATAAATAAATTGCCTTTAATACATTTCAGAATGCTTTTAACCTTTTATTAAATATTATTACAGAGGCTAATCTCCCTGAAGCCATATTATGTGTGTGCATGTGTGTGTGTATCCTTTTTCTATTTAGGCTTTTATTTTTTTCCTAAATATAGAATTAAATAAATAGATGTTTTAATCCAAATAGTCAGAGGAGAGAGAAGAGTCTTCAGTAATGCTCTGTTTTGCTATTTATGATTTATTTAACTTTGGTTTATTTGAAGTTGGACTGTTCTAAGTAAAAAAATGGCAGAGTTGGTTTGAGTATAGGAGCCATGTAAGAAGGACTTGAAAGAATGGGGAGGAAAAGAAAATAGAGGAAAAACCATTGTGATAACTTTTTATGTGTATCATGCATTATCAGAATCACCTGGAGGGCTTATTTGAGCACAGATTGCTGGAGTCCACCCCAGAGTTTGTGGTTCAGAAGATCAAGAGCAGGGCCTGGGAATTGGCATTTCTAAAAAGTTACTAGGAATGATGATGCTCCTGGTTCATGGTCCACACAATTAGTACCCCCACTATAGACCATTTCCTGTGGAAATCACATGTCTTGCTAATAGGTAAAGCTTATTATGTGCAAAGATTTAATTTTATGGACACATTAGAGAATATGGGAAATGTGGAATAAGAATTTAAAATAAAATAAATATACTATGTCTATATTGGTATAGAAACTGAAAGCTTCCTTCTTTTGTTTTTTTTTTTTCCTTCAACAGAAGCAGATAAAGAAAAAAGTCACAAAGATGACAGTGAATTAGACTTTTCAGCCCTTTGTCCTAAGGTATTTTTTTTCTTTAAGCTTTCAATTTGTTCCCATATAGTTTGACTGTAAATTTATTTACATGCACTAAAACTGAATGATTTTCTCAGTAGACTACTCTTGTTTCTATAAAATGATTGAATGATTTCAAAAGGAAAATACACATCTGGTTTTTTTTATTTTAATTTTATTTTTGGATAGATTTTCACATGTGCTCGCCAGTAAGATAGAGAGAGACAGAGAGACAGAAAGTGAGAAATCCCTCCTACTTCCCCCCCCCCCCCAGGGAGGATGGCCACACTTCAATCCCTTCTCCTCTATTCTCCTCTTGGAATCTTGGATATACACGCACACATGCCCAGTGTGAGTTTAAGCCACTGAGTCCGAGACTTGAACCATAGTCGACTACATGGGAATCCAGCGGCACAGGCATTATGCCAACTGCTGGCCCCTACATCTGATTTTTATTATCCTGATGTTTTGGGGATTAGTGTGGATTTTTCAACAGATTACCCTTAGTAGTTTAAAATGTGCCACTGGTGTTTCTATTAACACAGATTAGCCTCACAGTTGCTGCCAAAGAGTTATCTGTGTCTGACACAGACGTCTCAGAGGTATCCTGGACGGATAATGGAACCTTCAATCTCTCAGAAGGATATACTCCACAGACAGACACTTCTGATGGTATGCTAATATTTATGGATACTCTTATTTATATTGTTGGGTTGTTGGAAAAGTCATGACCTATTTTTCTATGTTTTTCTGTGCAAAATCGCATCATGACTTCCAACAACCCAAAATTATGTATACATGCAAAAATGTTTGATTTTTATCAACTACTGAATGAGTAAATAAAATATGTGTTTAAATATTACTTGGATATAAAAATGAACAAGGTGTTGATACCTGCTACAACACAGATGAACTATGAAAACATGCTAAGTGAAAGAAGCCAGACACAAAAAGCCACATATTGGATAATTCCATTTATATGAAATGTCCAGAATAAACCAGTCTATTTAGAGGGAAAGTAGATTAGCAGTTGCTGGAGACTAGGGGAAGGAAGGAACAGTGAGTGGCTGCTCATTGGTATGAGTTTGTTTTTGGAGCAATGAACATATTGTTGAAGTATGGTGGTGATTGTTGTATAGCTTTGTGAATACAGTCATGTGCTGCATGAGAACGTTTTGGATGATGGACTTCAGCAGTGGTCCCCTGAGATGATAACAGGCCATATATACAGCCTAGGTGTGTAGGAGGCTGTACCATCTAGGTTTGTGTAAGTACACTCCATGATGTTCACACAGCAATGAAGTTGTCTAATGACACCTACATCTCTGAATATACCCTATTGTTAAAGCTATGTATGAGTGTATTCTAAAAACTACTGCACGGTATACTTTAAAAAGGGTAAATTTTATGTTATATGAATTAAATCTCAAGAGATTTTTAAATGAGAAAAATGTCAATGTCCAAATATGCCTTTATTTTCTTTTTTAAGAAAAAAAAATCTCAAAGAGTGCATGTGCTCACATAGTGACAGAAAAACAGAAAGATACAGGAGTGCATGGGAGAAAAGATCACCCCAATAAGGCATGGTCATGGTGCAGTTTTTCTCCTTTACTCCTTCAGCTTGTTGGGGTTTGGGGCATGTACACACACATGCCTGACATGGTTTTCAAGCCACTGGGACTGGGATTTGAACCACAGTTGGCTCTGTGGGATCCCTATGCTTGTATTTAAAAAGTAAATTAAAAACAACGAAAAGAAATTACCTCCGGAATGTCTGGCACTATTTAAAGCAGTAATAAGAGGAGAGCAAAGAAAATACAGTCAGTTTAGTCTTATTTAAAGTGTGGAAGACAAATTTCCTGAGTCTAAAGCTGATTCCATAGATTCTTATATTTGTCTTAAAAGTTAAAAAGAGCTTCTTTGTGGAACCCCAGATAGCATAATGGTTATATTGCTGGACTCCCACATAGTGAACTGTAGTCTGAGTTCTGGACAGGATGGCTTAAAACTCATGCCAGGAATGTGTGCATGCATGCCCAAAATCCCAAGAGGAGAATGGAGGAGAAGGGATTGCAGCATGGCCATCCCCCTTCGGGTATGATTTCTTTCTTTCCGTCTCTCTGTTTCTCTCTGTCTCTCCAGCAAACACACGCACCCTATAGCAAAAACTCTATCAACCAAAAAATAAAACAGCTTTATTATTCATAATTAGGTTAAATATTATTTACAATAAGAGAACACACGCGGGAACCAGCAGTTAGCGTAATGGCTATGTTGCTGGACTCCCACATAGTCGACCGCGGTTCGCGTCCTGGACCTGGTGGCTTAAAACTCATGCCAGGCGCATGTGCGTGCATGCCCAAGATCCCAAGAGGAGAGTGGAGGAGAAGGGATTGCGGCATGACCATCCCCTCAGGGGGGTGATTTCTCGCTTTCTGTCCCTCTTTCTCTCTCTGTCTGTCTGGTGAGCGCACGCACCCTATAGCAAAAACCTCTCCAAAAAAAAAAAAAAAAAGAACACACGGTATTATTTGCTAGTGCAAATTCCTTCCTTAATCTAAATTGAGAGACAGTGCTTATGCAACCATTTAACTTTTGCTAATCTAACTGGACCATTTTAAGTCGTTTCAGCCATATACTGAACATATGAGCAGATTATAAAGGAAGAGCATGAATAAATCATTTTTTTCTTATTGCCCAAGAACACACTTTCTCTTCCTAGAGGAAGGAGGGAAGGAAGATGTACAATGTTTGAAAGATGGGTTTGGAGGTTGGGGAACCAAACATAGTCTTGCCATTGTCACTAACTGTATGACCTTGAACAGAGATCATTTCTGGACCTAAATTTCCTCATCTTTAAAGTACATTAGATCACTGAAGTCATTCAAACTGCTCTTTAAGTTCTCAACTATAACCAAATCGTATTTTAAAGACCAGGATAACAAGTACTTTGTTTTTAAGCATCCCATCTCAGATTTATATAAGAGACAATAAGAATCCAATCTACATGTAAGGCTTTTCATTAACTGAGCTGAAGATTTCAATCATTATTGCAAGGAGATTTCTGTTACACTAAAAGATTTTCTATGAAAAGTAAAAACAATGTAATTAGTCTGTCTCCTAATCTGACATTGCTTTCAAATGCTCTAAATCTTAGCATGGTGAGTTTCAGCTATATTTATGGAGAGCTAAATGTTTCCATAGACTATAGCATAGAAGACACAATAACTCCTTTTCATTGCTTTAAACAAACACAAATTATTCAAATATATCTCCATGTATAGAAATCCTGAGGCTAGATTATATTTACCATTCAATACTAGAACCCATGAAAACATCCAATTGAAGTTTTATGTATGTATGTATGTATGTATGTATGTATTGTATGATCATACTTATCTACACTGGCTTAAGAGAATTCCTACCCTAGAGACAGGATGGAATTTTTCTGGTGAGCACTTAAACTTTAGTTCAAGCTTCAAGATTATAGTAGACAAGGTCGAATATTAAGTCATTTCATAAACTGTTTTATGCTTAAAAAGAAAGCTAACAATATGGAGGTGGGGGACACATAGTATTTGTGTATTTGTGGAAAGATAGTGTCACACATCGGGGCCAACCAATATGTGAGTAAGTTGACTCATATTGATCCAAGTTTGCCCAGAGGGTTCAGATTAAACTCAGGTATCTTCCAGACAGCTCTTTTTTATTTCAGATTTGTTATGGTGCTTAAGCATGAATTTTGTTACGCCTTTCACAGATCTTGACCGACCTAGTGAAGAAGTTTTCTCTCGAGATCTTTCAGATTTTCCATCTTTAGAAAATGGTATGGGAACAAATGATGAAGATGAATTAAGCCTTGGCTTACCCACTGATCTCAAGAGAAAAAAGGATCAGCTGGACAGTGGTCACAGATCAAGCAAAGAGAAGCAGTCAGCAGCTGGTCTCACCCTTCCTCTGAACAGTGACCAAACCTTTCAGCTAATGAGCAACCTGGCTGGGGATGTCATCACAGCTGCAGTGACTGCTGCTATCAAAGACCAGCTAGAGGGCGCTCAGCAAGCCACTGCTCAGGCTGCAGCCAGCCTAGGAGAGGACACAGACACTGAAGAAGGTGATGACTTTGAACTACTTGACCAGTCAGAGCTGGATCAAATTGAGAGTGAATTGGGACTTACACAAGACCAGGAAGCAGAAGCACAGCAAAGTAAGAAGTCTTCAGGCTTCCTTTCAAATCTACTTGGAGGCCATTAATCTGGGAATCAGCTTGCAACAGAGCACAGATTAAACCACCAAAAAATTTCAAACAAGAAAGAAAAAAAAAAGAAAAAAAAGAAAAAAAAATTGAACTGTAAGCTTTAATTATTACTTTAGGGGTTTTTTTTTGTTTGTTTTACTTTCCCTTCTGCAGTGAAATTGGATATGTATCAGTTAACACTGATAGACTGATATTTCCCATAGTTATTTTTATGTGATAAGCATGGAAATGAACTTTACACACACACACACACACACACATACACACACACAAATACTGTGTGGTTAGAGATGAGTACTAGGGGTTATTTTTAAAACTAAAAGAAAAAACACAAAATTAAGATCCTCCTGTAAGTATTTCTTTTTCTTTACAATTATTTTTTCAAGCATGCAAAGTTTATTGTAACTCAATGAAAAATACTAACAACTAATTGTGAATACATGCTGTATCAGCTCCCTTATTCCTAATACTTGGAAACAGAAAAAGAAAAACTGGTAGAGTTTGATGTCTAAAAAGGCAGAAATTATCAAGATATCTTTAGCTGAAGGACTTGGGAAATACTATCAAAATTGATTTCTAAGAAAATTTTAAAAAATATATTTAAGTACTATGGATAGGTTCGAACATTTCCATGTTATTTCTGCAGTTGTAGACTTAGGTTTACTCGTAAAGTGGCATGCTCCCTTGACTGCCATCTCTTAAGTCTTGCTGTGGGTGGTGTTAATCTGTAGAAAGCAAGTAGTTACATATCACATAGACTGTGGTTATGATGTAAACAGAGGTTCAGCTGTTTTGTTGATTTGTCATGTATTTGTAACAGAGAGGTTGAGAGTGCAGATCTATTCTGCCTGCTCAGACTTAAGTTAAACCCTCACCTTTTATATCACGTCATGTAAAAAGTCCCCTAAAATTGTAAAACTAGTTCTTGGTATGTTCTATGAGTGATGTGGTCATCAGTAATAAAGAAATAATAACTGTTTTCATAGTCTTATAGATACAGGGGAGGAACTTGCTTGGCTTAAAGTATATTTATTTGCCATTGAAGTCTAAATATGCGATGTTTCTTACTGGAAAGCTAGACTATTTTTTTCTTTTATTTTAAACTTTTAAAGATTATCTTTAAATTACAAAATTTGACTTAAGGTTTTTAACAAAGGACTAAAAAGCAGAAACCAAACTAGTTTTGTTTTTGTGATATAAATTTTTAGTAGTGTTGAGGGACCATGTCAGCAACTACCAAAAAGTCTCTTAAACCTTCAGGCATAGCTGGCATTTCTACAGATGTGATCAGACATCTGAGACCCTCAGAAAGGAAGGATAATCTAAGAATATAGGAAATCTGTGTACTACTCTTTTCATTTTATCCCTTTTCTTAGATTTCTAAAGACTAATTATAGAAAACCTAAAATCTTAATGTTACATCTTTTATTTATTTTTTCTTTCTGAGGTATTAAAATAGCTAAACTGAATTTTGCCAAATGAGAAAAGGAGAAAAGTTATGGAAGACTTTGAACACTTGCTTTTTGTGACTGAGTATGCTTACGTGTCATTAGTGCCTCATGACTGTGTTTGATATACTCTACTGATACAAAGTGAGCCTGTGCCTTCATTTTCTTGCCCATTTCGGTACAAGTGGAAACTTGGTGTTAGAAAAATTTCTGAACTGTGTGGGTTTTGGAGGACTATAATTGAATTCTATTCAGTGCATTTCTGGACATGAAGAAAAATACAGTCACATATTTATAAAACAGTTGTTACAAAGATTCTTTTTTAAAAATGTGTATGTTTCTTTATTTAAGAAATATTCTTGGGGGGCCAGCTGGTGGTATAGTAGTTAAGGTGCTGGACTCCCATGTAGTCGATTGCAGTTTGAGTCCTGAACCTGCTGGTTTGAAACTCACACTGGGCATGTGTGCGAGTGTGCCCAAAATCCCAAGAGGAGAATGGAGGAAAAGCAAAGGGATTGTGGCATGAGCATTCTCCTGGGGAGTGATTTCATGCTTTCTGTCTCTCTGGCGAGTGCATGTATCCTATAGCAAAAATCTCTAAAAAAGGAAAAAAATATATCCTTGGTCATGAATTCAGAGTGACATCCATTTCATCATTGAGGAGAATACAAGTTAAATAATCCACATAATTAAAGAACATTTTATATTGGACAAGCTTATAAGAAGGATGTTTTAAGAATGAATGGGGGAAAAAAGAATCTGAAGCACTTTCAGGGAGAAAAAGGTGGTATAAAACAAACATACTGATTTTTTTTCTGCCCGTATTTTAACTTAACTATCATTTTAAACATGAAAACAAAGGCAATCAACAAGTACCTTCTTATAATAAAGCCATATAAGTTTCTTTTAATGTGCCTAGCACTGTATCAACCTCACAGACAGTAAATGCCTATGGAATAAATGGATGGAAAGTGTTGTTAAAATGTCTATAATTTCACTGGATTCTGTGGACCATGTGTAAGGTTCAATACTCATTTTTAATACTGTGAAACTCTGAGGAAGTCACTTAATAACTCTGCACCTGTTTCCTTTCTCTACAAAATAAAGATATAATGACACCTACTTCATAGGATATTGCAAGGATTAAATGTCTTAAGATGGGTTGGCATACTATGAGCTGTGGACCAAATCCAGCTTGCTGTCTGTTTTTGTATGGTTTATAAGCTAAGAGTGATTTGTTATGTTTTAAATAGTTGAAAAAAATTAGAAGAGTATTTTGTGTCATGTGAAAATTAATATCAGCATCCCTAGGTGAAGTTTTATTAGAATACAGCCATACTCAATCATTCATGCATTTTTTGGGTCTGTTTTACTTATTTTTTATTGTTCACATATAATCACTGTATATCTTTTTGAAATACAATATGGATTTTCAAAGCATGCATATAGTGTGTAATAAGCAAATCAAAGATTCAGACATATCTATCTTATTGGATAGTGAAGTTTACATTACATTGTATACATTCAATAATAGTTCTACAGTTTTTTTTTCAAGTATATATTGAATTATTGGTGACATTTTTTTAATCTGCTGTGGTATATCATTCCATAAGCTGTTCTGCCTGTTTCTCACATTTTTGTGTCTATTAATCATTTCTTCCTGAACCTTCAAACCCTTACCGACACAACCGCCATGCAGCTTCTGGTACCTGCTCTTACTTGCTGTACTTCTATGTATGGCTGCCTTTATGCCATACAGCAAAGTTGGATAGTTGTGATAAAGATGATAGGTCAACAAAGCCTAACATATTAACTATTTGGCTTTACAGGAAAAGTATTCTAGTACTAGTCTAAGATAGAAAACACTCAAATTATAATTAGGATCCTGTCTAATCCTCATGACTACAATTACACACAGAATTAAGAGCATTTTGCCAAAGAACAGGTCGAATAAATTGTCCAGGGTTATATTGGGTCATCTGAGAAGTTACGACGCTGCAGAAAGATATAACTGACTGTCCCATTGTCAATCAGCTTGCATTTACTGAGGACCTACTGACTATAGATGTGCACCTTCTTTGTATTTCTCTAACCAACTGCTGAATATACTCAAGGCCCAATTCCTTTTCTTTTTAAGTTTGTTTTGTTTAAAGAGAAATTTTTGCTACAGGACGTGTGCACTTGCCAGAGAGGCAGAGAAATAGAAAATGAGAAATCACTCCCCAGGAAGGAAGACCATACCACAATCCCTTCTCCATTCTTCTCACACACATGGACCCAGCGTACATTTTAAGTCAACCATGGTTGACTATGTGAGAGTCCAGCAACATAACCATTATACCACCTGCTGGTCCCTCTCTCTTTTTTTTTTTTTAAGAGGTTCTTGTTATCGGGCACGTGCGTGTGCCAGAAAGACAGAGACAGAGAGAGAGAGAAAGCGAGAAATCACCCCCCAGGCGGGATGGCCACACCACAATCCCTTCTCCTCCATTCCCCTCCTCTCGGGATCTTGGGCATGCACACACACGCGCCCGGCATGAGTTTAAGCCACCGGGTCCAAGACTCGAACCACGGTTGACTACATGGGCGCCCAGCGACATAGCCATTACGCTAACTGCTGTTCCCTCTTTTTTTTTTTTTTAAGTTTTTAAAATTTCTTCCATTAGCAAGAAGGATACCACTAAGAGGATCCCCATGCCACAGTCTACCCTCAGCGTCAGCCAGCCAGGGATTATGTACCTGTGTGTACACAGAAATCTCGATATGAACCCAGAACCTTCTATGTGTACCAGCCTTGCAGAGCATTGAGCTACCACTGTACCACCTTTCAGTT